GTTGTCAAAAGCGCAATAAAGATAGACTACATTTAGAGTAGTTGAAGGCTTTATAAATTATGACACCCAGAAAACAGAAATTTTTGGATGAATTAAAGCGGTTAAGTACTTAAAACGTAAATTGATATTTATAACAGATATACAAAATTAGCGGGACGAATAATTCAATGACTAAAAGTCATCTGTTCAAGGTATCATTAAATGACTTTTTTATCAGTAATCTAAATTAAAAAAGCAGGGTGTTAAAGATAAATTTCATTACCCATGTATTACATAATATTACACAAATGGTATTCATTTGATAGTGGATTGGCAAGGCGGTAAGTATCAAACGGATTAATCATTCAACCGGGACGTTATTGTACCATAAAATTGTGAAAATCGTTTTATTTATACCAATCACATCAATGTGACAAATAGTGTGCGTGAAGTGCATTTTCATGTGTACACGGTGCATATCCATATCGGTACCCTCTTTGCAAAATCTGCTAAAACGGTACCCTCTTTGCACATGCACAGGCCACTCTCTGCTCAAAACAAACCTGCGATTGATAACCATACGGTAAAATTTCAATATAATAAGGAAAGAAGGTATGACACGTAGAAAAGATGTATACCACGGAACACTAGAATGTTTTATCTATGTGCTGATTTGTCATGTGCCCGTTTTTTCATGTACTACAAATTCACAATAAGCTACAAAAAATCGACATGTCTTGCTTCGCCCATCACCTCGACATATTTTCGGGGCTGAAATGAACCTGTGGCTTGATTATATATGCATCATACATATTCATTATGTTCATTTACATATCATCTTCGGTATGGAATGCCGGTAGGGACATGCCAATTTGCTTATTTGCCAATTGCTGAATTGCTTATTTGCTAATTGCCGATTTGCTTATTTGCCAATGGCTGATAGGCTTAACGACAAATTTTTGCTTAATTTACCAAAATTGCTTAATTGCTAATTTGCTTATTTGTTTAACCGCTGGTTTACGTATTTGGGCTTATTTGCCTATTGCTAATTTGCTTTTTTGCAATACGAAAAAAGTTTACGCACTGTGCCGGAAGTTAGATGGAAAATCTGACTACAGACAAACCAGTTTGAGCCAGATCTGTTAACTTTTACCAAAACAGTATTCTTGTAAATTCAGTGTTGTTTTCCAAAGAATAGGGGGTGTTGGTCAAATGGAATTTAGGTTCCAGTGATGGCCTACCAGAATATATGTCCTACAACTGATGGGCTTGACATGTCCCTTAGCCGAACACAGACACTTAGGGGGTTCAGATTCCCGTAGCCCCCAACGTGATACGTGCTGTGTTAACACTCTATTTAAGATATTTTTAATATTTAAACAACGCACATTGGTTTTTTCAAGGGCAAATTTTTAACTATTACCGGTATAAAACCAAATATACTACCAAGTTCTCAATAAATACTTAATAAGTTTTTAAATCGCGTTGTAACAAATGTCGCAATTCGTATTTAAATAAAATATTAAATAGTTTTGATATAGTTGTTTACAGACGCGTTAACACGTTAGGGGGCAGGATCTGACCCGCCAGCATCTGTGCTTGAGAATGTCTTATAATGTGCTGCAGCTATATATCTGTTGTGGCAGCTTAAATCCCCCAGAGATTGATGGCCCATAAAAACACTTTGATTAGTCAATTATATAAGTTGAAAATTATTGGGGTAAAGATTGAAAATAAAGAACTTTGAAAACAAAAAAACTATTTCTCAATTTTAAAAGGCAATATAAAATGGGTCGTTTTTCCTCAGGCAGATTTTTGTCACGGAAGGGCCCATTTTAGTTGGGTACGAAACAATATGTATCACGAATGATACATTTGGTGCATGCTTAACACGGGTGTTTGTCTTTGCACTTAAGCAATAGGCTTCGTTTTTAGCTCATGTAAATTTTGATCACTTATGTCTGTGTGTGCATCAACATTTTGCTTTGGTTCAATGTTTTTGAAATTTGGTCACACTTTTCCATTTCTTTCGTGTTGTACATTTTTACATGCTAATCAAAGGTGACCATGACCATGATCATGACCTAGGGTATAATGGACAAAGCCTCTTTGAATATTGTGTATGCATGCTGCCTTTGTAATGCTTATGTGAAGTTACGAAGTTAAAGATATAAGCAAAAATAGTAACAGAGATGAAACAAAAATGAACAAAAAACAAAGGCTTCTCAGTACAATATATTGGTGACCTTAACATTCAGTATATAACGGTCACAGCTTCTTCATGTACTTTGTATGCATGCTTGTAACGCAAAGTTTATGCAAAGTTGCAGTAAGATGCATGAATCAGCAAAAGTAACAGAGATATGATAGAAAAACAAGTTACCAAGAAAACCAATGCATTGGTGTGTAGAATAGCATCCCTATTCTCTGAATAGTGGAGCTAAAACTGAAACTCAAGATAATTAAAAAAACAACTACTTTCTGAAACTAAATTTATTTTTTTTCGAAATTGATTAAAATGTATCCATTTGTCTTTACTACCTATATTCTAGGTAATGATGGATTGATCATAATTGTCACAAGTTATAATCAACAAAACTTTATAAACATAATAGCATGATGTAGGTTCATGAGCTTGAAATAAAGTCTACAAAGACTTGTTATTTTATATCAAACAAGAACTTCGTGAGTCGGACGTGTCGCCTGACAATAGCATAAAAATTTATGTAAATAAGCAAATTGGCAAATCAGCAAATCAGCAATTACCAAATAAGCAATTAAGTAGTTGGCAAATAAGCAAAGTGGCATGTCCCTACCGGCATTCCATATCTTCATTTGAACTTTTATATCACAGGTAGCCTCTTTTACACATACATAGGTAGCCTCAAGGCAGGTAAAAGAGGCTACCTGTGATATAAAAGTTCAAATGAAGAGAGGTAGCCCGTGCCGCTGCAAAACCGAAAGTAGGGTGTTTTTATGAATTTTACATTTATTTTTGACAATGTACTGCCATTTGTCCGAAGATGATATGTAAATGAACATAGTAAATATGTATGATGCATATATAATCAGGCCACAGTGTCGTATAACGGAGAAAGAACTCACGGATGTTACATACTTTTAATATACAAATACAAACACACAAGTGAACGAGTGGAATACCAAAGTCGAACTCCCCCTCTTTGACATTTGAGAATAGTATATATAATATCAACCTGTCCTAAGGACATTTTATAATGTATATAAATACACACGTTTTAGAGTTACATATATTAATCATCCTGACATAAGGTCAGTCCGTATGCATCCTGCACTATAATACTCATAAATCATGTCATGTTCCATAGTGCACATTAAGAAATAAAAACCCTAATATATGTATATACATGTTGACTTGTCATTCTTTTTGAATATAGCATGTATGACTAATTAGCCTGTGCAACCAGCTATACGACAACAGGTTCATTTCAGCCCGAAAAGTATGTCGAGGTGATGGTCGAGGTAAGACATGTCGATTTTTTGTAGCTTATTGTGAAGTTGCAGTACATAAAAAACGGGCACATGACAAATCAGCACATAGATAAAACATTCTAGTGTTCCGTGGTATACATCTTTTCCACGGCAGTACATTGTCAAAAATAAATGTAAAATTCATAAAAACACCCTACTTTCGGTTTTGCAGCGGCACGGGCTACCTCTCTTCATTTGAACTTTTATATCACAGGTACCCTCTTTTACACACACATAGGTAGCCTCAAGGCACCACATACGCTTGTATTTGCGTTAATCGTTAGGTATGTAATATTTCTTACTTTTATGTAAATATTTCATACTTAACGATTAACGCTAATAAAAGAATATGTCGTGCATTGAGTGTACCTATGTGTGTTTAAACATGTTAAAAATGAGAGGGTACCTGTGATATAAAAATTCAAATGAAGAGAGGTAGCCCGTGCCGCTGCAAAACCGAAAGTAGGGTGTTTTTATGAATTTTACATTTATTTTTTACAATGTACTGCCATTTGTCCGAAGATGATATGTAAATGAACATAGTAAATATGTATGATGCATATATAATCAGGCCACAGGTTCATTTCAGCCCGAAAAGTATGTCGAGGTGATGGGCGAGGTAAGACATGTCGATTTTTTGTAGCTTATTGTGAAGTTGCAGTACATGAAAAACGGGCACATGACAAATCAGCACATAGATAAAACATTCTAGTGTTCCGTGGTATACATCTTTTCCACGTGTCATACCTCCTTTCCTTATTACAATGAATTTTTACTGGCTTGTTATCTATCGCTGGTTTGTTTTGAGCAGAGAGTGGCCTGTGCATGTACAAAGAGGGTACCGTTTCAGCAGATTTCGCAGAGGGTACCGATATGGATATGCACCGTGGTGTAACAGGAACCGGATAAAGTGTGTGTTATTTCACCACCCATCTAAACTTCTAATGCGTTTGAAAAATTATTTAAATATATTTATGTGACTTAAAAAATAACTGTTGGGCATCACAGTCGGATAAAGTAAAACTGAAAACTAAAAATGCAATATCACGTGTTCCGAGTTTTTTCTTCTTCAGAAATTGAGATTTTACATGTTATTATATTTCTTTAGCATTTATATTTCAACACATATAAAATTGACTTCTTTATTTGCTTATTTTCACATTTTTTTTTTGGAACAATTATCTCAATGTCAGGTCCTCCATGATCGTAAAGGGGAATTCTTAAACAATCGTCTTTTCCTTGTTTTTTTATGGCAATCTTGGCCAAAAAGCTATAAATCTTTTGTGTTTCTATTAAAATCTATTTCAAATGATTTTCTAATTTTTACCTTAAACTAACTCGGAATTGTCTATGAATTTCTTCTACATTTCTATGTAGGGAGATGTTCTGTTTGCCCTATGCAGATTGAGCATGCGCGAGAAAATACTACTTCCGGTCAATTTAAAATAGCAACGCACCGCGTCGTAAAAAGGTTTATAAAAGATTGTCCTATTTGTTTTCCCTATTTTAAGTGCCTTCGAACGTCGCTAAAGGGAAAACAACGACGACTCTATCAGGAAGACAAGCATTGGATGGAATTCTGAGCCCATGCTTCTTTTGGGAATGTCAATGGTGGGTGGACCTTGGCTCACTGTATGCTGTTACACTGATCAACATATACACAGGTAACACTATAGTCCGTTTCTTGAGTAACAAGAAAAAAATATTACATATATTCGTATGTAATATAGGTACGATTGCATTTCAATTTCTGTGACGACTTTTTATGCTTGCTGCATAAAAGGTGTTATGTAAAATGAACAAACTTGTCATCAGATATTTTATATTTTTAAACATTTTCATGGAATGTAATAAATGTATCATAATATTAAAGTTGCATGCCTTCAGATGTGAACACTGATGTCAAAGAAAAAACTCAATGCACGACCAATTTACTGCTTTAAAACATAAACACAAAATTACATATCTTCCACTAAATAGAACATATGAAATCGTGCAAACCCACAGAAATAGAAATATAAACAATAAAACTCTTTTGTTCCCGCGTAAATTTCTTTGTACCCTGAGCTCGTAAATCTGGTCCCCAGATTATTAAAAACCATCGCTAACACGGACACGATCTGTCCATGTTTTTGTTGTTGTTTTTATCTTGCTGAGCATTAAAAACCTTTCTAATAGATTAAAGGTAGAATTTCATTGTTAATCAAAGTCAGATTTGAGAAATGATTAATTTATATAAAAAAAAAACATCATAATTTGTTAATATTTATTACAAATAAATATAAAAGTTATTTCCTTTCCAGCTGGGTTAGCTATATTTACAATTCCCGCGCTAAGTCGCGGTGGTGGTAGTGGCGCTGTTATATCTCGCAACGCCGCTAAATGTCGCACTTGCCGTTAAAATTAATGTTTAGTTTAATAATATTTTATTGCTCTTTGAATACAATTTATAACATTATTTCCACAAAACAACATTTTTTAACAAAGGGCAAAAGGGTTGAACAACAAGTTCTAGCAACATTAGTAACTGTCCTTCCCTTAAGCATTATAAGATATAGAAACGAAAACATGTTTAAACACTATACACATGAGCAATTACAAATATTAAGACGGATACAAAAACAAAGTAGCAAATAGAATTCGACATCAAATTTAAAAAAAAAAAAAAACAAAAACATTTGCTTATCAATTTTTTAAATATAAAAAATAATAGTAATTTTCCTGCACTTGCAGTATGTGATGGTTTGTATGGCTGTCAAAATATGTCATTTATAAGGGGAATTAGAAGAATTAATATTGGAACAACGATTGTTATTTTTACATGTACTTATTTCTTATTATTTAAATCTATGTGTATTTTTTATATATTTTTGAACCTCATGAAATAAAAAAGAGTTTAATTTTCTTTTCCATAAAGGAGAGTACTAGTTTGTACTTAATGGATGAAAAGGGCGAGTGGAAGTGAAAAGTTGGAGTCTTTGAACACCAAAAAGTTTACAGTTAAAAAAGAAATGTTCAGCATCCTCCTCGATATGGCAAAACTCACAAACAGGGGAGTTTGCTAAGTGATTTCTATACAGATCATCATTCAAATTACTACATCTATTTCTTAAACGTGCATGGTAAACAGATGTTAGCCTTTCTCCAATTAAATAATATTTAGGGACAAGTGTGGGTTTGAATTTATCCTTGCGTTTAGTTTTGAACACATTTAAAGAAGTCGAGTCACGTATCTCATTATCAAGACTATTCCATGCCGAAATTGCTGAGGGTATAAATGATCTAGAAAATATTCGTCGTGCTATTGTTACGTAATTATCGTTATTTCTAAGGTTATAATGGCTACTTTCTGATACAAAATTTGGGAACAAAGTGTCCAGATAACTTGGAAGCTCCCCATTTTTAGCTTTATACATTATTGATAATTTTTGCATTAAACGACGATCTGCTAAAGAGACCCAACCTATTTCATGCAGAAGTCTTTCTATAGACACTGAGCGAGTCAAACCAGTTACTAAGCGCGCAGCTTCGTATTGCATTTTTTCAATTTTTTTCTTTTTCATATAAGGTACAACTATCCCAAATAACACTAGCATATTCTAATAAAGGCCTCATATAGGAAATATAAATTTGATTTAATGTTGTTCTATTTAATTTGAACTTTAATAAACGCATAGAACCTAATATTTTTGACGCCGAGTTAGTTATATTATTAATATGTTCATGCCAGGTTCCACATCACTTAAGGTTAACCCCAAATGCCTGTGGTGTTGAGTGTAATTAAGTTGAACATTGTTAAAGTACAAAAAAGGTCTTTCATTTCTAATAAGAGAACAAAATAATACTTCTGTCTTATTAGGATTAAAGGTTACAAGTCATTGGTCTGCCCATTCAGTAATAGTTTTAAGATCAATATTTAGAGTCATTTCTATATATTTAGAATCATCGCTTGTTACTGATAAAGAACTATCATCTGCAAAAAGACGAGTCAAACTAAGTAAGTTTTCAGCAATGTCATTAACATAAATCAAAAAAGAAGAGGACCAAGCACAGATCCTTGAGGGACACCAGCATTTATGAATTTTGTGTCAGAAAAAGAAGAACCAACAAAAACGCTTTGGTTCCTCGACTTAAGATAGCTAGCAATCCAAGTATTCAAATTATTTGTAATGCCGTACTGATGCAGTTTAAACAGTAGACCTTTATGCCAAACGCGGTCAAATGCTTTAGAGATATCACAGAACACTATACAAGTTGATTTCTTTTCATCAAAAGCTTTACATATTTGATGATAAATGTCAATTAATTGATATACAGTAGAATGCCCTGGAATAAACCCGGATTGATATTTGTAAATAAGATTGTTCGTATGTAAATGGTTGTAAATATATTTAAATATAATTCTTTCCATTACTTTTCCTATGCAACTTATTAAAGAAATTGGTCTGTAATTAGAACAAAGATCGTGCTCCCCTTTTTTAAATAATGGCATAACGTTTGCGTTTTTCCAACATGTGGGATATGTATTTTCTTGAAGGGAACGATTAAAAAGTGTACATAGAGGTTTACAAATGCTAGAAGATGTTTCTTTAAGCATACGGTGACTTATCTCATCTGGTCCACTAGCCTTTTTTATTATTAAGCATGAAAGAATGTCTTTAACTTCTTCTTCGTTAATTATTATGTCACACAAAGATTCGTTTGGTTTAAGATTGAAAATGGGTAAAGAAGTATTAGAATCATCAATAGAAGATACAGAGATAAAGTAATCATTGAGCGCATTTGCCTTTTCTTTATCAGTAAATACATACAAGTCATTATTAAGTCTCAATGGCGGTATTATTTCACATTGTTTATTATCTTTAACTAACATTTTCACAATTTTCCAGTATTCGCGAGGATTATTACTACTTATATCGTTGATTGTAAATTCTAAATTATTAAAAAAAAAACTTGTTTCGCGTGCTTTTTTAAATTATTAACCTTGTTTCTTAATTTTTTTTTTATATAAAATCCAGTCTGACGATTTATTAGTTTTAATTGCACGTGATTTTTGTCTGTCACGCTTCCGGGAAGTTCTTCGTATTATTGAATCGTACCATGGTCTGTCGTATGGTCGTATTGTAACTTCTTTATATGGAATGCATCGTTTTGTCAAATCTAAAAATGAAGAAGTAAATAAATCGGAAGCCTCGTCTACAGTGCCATTAGATAATATTGACCAATTATATGAAGTTATCAATTCATTTAACCGAACAAAGTCCGCATTATTATAATTCCAAACACAACGCTTATAAGTATTAAAAGGAAGCGCTTCAAAATGAATAAAAATATAATTAGCATAATGATCACTAACGTCGCTCGGAGTTTCTGAAACACCAAAGTCAAATGATTTTATTTCACTAGAAATTACTATTGGGTCAATAAGTGTTGCAGATGTATTTGATACACGAGTCGGCTGATTGATAACATTACTCATATTATAAATAATTAAGATATCACGTAATTTATGGTTTGAATGATTGAGTTGATCTTCATTTACATCACCAAGTAAAACAATGTACTTCGACAATTCATGCGCCTTTTCTAAACAGTTATCCAGTTTTGACCAAAACTCAACAGTAGAATTTGGGTGACGATAAACAGTGCCTATCAAAATGTTCTTCTCCTTATCTTTAACATTAATCCATATTGATTCATCAGAATACATTTCTAATTCAAAAACTCTTTTTGTTACCAATTTATCTGACGTATAAATAATAACCCCCCCCCCCCCTGAATGGGCAGTGTTATCCTTCCTATATAAATATCTATATCCATCCAAAAATATTTGATCGTCTTTAATTGTATTAGTTAAGTGAGTTTCTGTAAAACATAAAATTTCGAAGTCATTGAAATGATCTTTTATGAAATCAATTTTGTTTCTTATACCCGGGTTAGTTTCTATGTCACCTGATAACAATAATAATAGTTCTTCTATAGAAAAAAGAGCCTGAGAACCTATAAAGTAAAATAATCGTAAACATTCTGTAATGTTTTGGGATTTTTTTTTGAGGTTATTATTGCAAAGAAAAATAAAAATTTTGATAAAAAATATAAATTTAAGCAAACAAAAACCCAGAGTACAAAAAATACTAACATATATTGCTATAAACAAACCAAAAATATAGAAGAGGTGTTTTTGTGGGTATTGTTTAAAAAAATATGAATAATGTAAACAATGTGTTCCATTATAATACAATCCTATAGCTGCTCTCCAAGCACCAATGCTTATATTACCCATTGGGAAGTAAGAAAACGAAATGCAAAGGAAATGTTATGAGCAGCCATGGATGAATAAAAGAAACTGAAAATGACATTTTAAAACAGAACAGACAAACCATCACAACAAAAATAAAATAATCATTTGATGCTTATTTACATAAAAGAAATATTTGCGAGCAGAGAATAAGCCGACGTCAATTAAAGATATAAATACTTATTTGAACGGACCAAACTTAAGCTAAGTTTAGGGATCTATAACATAAATGTTACATGACTAGCCACATTTTTTAACAAACACCCTGTATTTGTACTACGTAAACTTACACATATTTTATAAATTACACGATTAAGTTTCACACAATAGTATAATAGACAGTTGCGGAATACAGTTGATTACTTTGGATTATAAAAAATGAATAAGTGGAAATTAAAAAAATAGAAGATATTATTAAATCGGTGATATTGAAAATATTTTCAGGATATCATTTAAAGAAAAAAAATATGTATACTTAGACGTTAGATTGGTGAAAAACGATATTTTTTTACATTGTTTACATAGTTATAAAACAAAAAATGAGAATTTGGATATTCTATAAACTTTAACTGAGATTTAGTGTTCAGTTTATATGACACTTATAAGATTATAATGCATATATATACTGTATATATTTACAAATAAACATCAGTATGTCATTATCGTTAAAAAAAAAGAGAAAAACAACATCATCATCATCATCAAAGAAAAAAATCTAATCATCACCATACAATACAACAACATCACATGTCATGATCACATCGTCGCATAAGTATATCATAATAATAATTACATCATATCGTGATTATATCGTTATCATTACATTTTATGAACACATCTCATCGACCAGTTTAATACGGACTAGTAGGGATACGCTACGGTTGATTTTTCCGTAGCAAAATTTTGTGCATGTTCAAAAATTGTCAAGTATCACTAAGGATATACAAGGACTAATACGATTGATTACGGTTACAATACGGAGAGCTACTGACCAGTACGGGTAGCTACGGACGATCCCGGAATAAATTCGTGGCTCTTCCGTGGTCGTCTTCCGTAAATATGTGACCGGGGTATTAACGACCTCATAGTTAAAACGAAAATTTGATTGACATAGCAACCTGCGGAGAGATATAACGATAAAATGGTCACTTTGACGTATGTGTTGTCTTTTGTTATGTTTTGTTTGTTTGTTTGTTTGTTTGTTTTTTGTTGTTGTTGTTTTTTTTTTTGGGGGGGGGGGGGGGGTGCGCAGTACCAGGCGAAAAAACAACATGGTACAGATCTATTGTAAACGTATGTCGGGATGGGAAAAATAATATAATTCTTATACAGTTTTCTATGTTTGGAACAAGTTTTTCAGCAACAACAATGTCTAGTGGATTGAAATACATACCAGCTTACTAGTTTTGATACAAGTGACGTTTGTAGGATATTTGTTAAATTTGAACTTTGGCGGGTTTAAAACTTTAATACTGTACCTGAGGATGACAACATTGGTTGGATTCCGACTTTTATAAGATTCGATGTTAAAAATCCACCAATGAAAACACCAGAAATCCGGAAATGCTCCAATGGACAGACGGCCGGATTTTTGAATCTGAAATCTATGATTTCAATGGCGGCCATTTTGTAATCCCATACGAAAATCGTTAATACACAGAAACATGAAGTAATAACTTAAGGGATTTCTGATCTTAAACAAACATAAACTTTACATAAATTATGTTCTTGAAGTAGATTTGTCTGAAATTGATGTAAACAATCAGAAATCTTCAAAATAAAAAATGAAGTGACAGATTTCAAAGATGTCTGTCATTATATTAGACGTTTGCAAAAGGAAATATAAGGTGCGAATCAGTTTTCTGCTATTCATAAAGGTAAGTTTAGCATGTATACCAGCTTAATTTGCAGTGTCAATACAGTGTTCCTTGGTCAATCAGGTAAGTGAATCTTTCCCTTGTAGAAGTCAACAACATATGAAGCTGTAGGATTTCACAATGTCACTTGAATTTCATTACAAATTCTGTTGTTAGAACATTTCAGAATTATATTAGAATGTCAGATCAGATGTGTTCCATATCGTTTTTTTGCTACGCCCCTGCTATAAAATGTTATTTGATCACAGTAACAAACTACCTTCAATAAAATCATTCAAAAGAAAAGAAAATGTCACCTTCAGCTTTTCCAATAAGGAACAACATAATTAAATTAAATTTAATTATCTTTAGTAAACAGTTTCGTGTATGACGATTTGAGACTCGCAGCAGGAGCATCATTAGATTCAATGTCCGATGTTGGCGCATTTGACAACAACACACTTGTATTCCCTTATGGTTCGCTTGAAACACGATATGTGGAAGTAAGACGAGAACCTTTTCAATGGTTGGTTCTTTGTGAACTTGAAGTCTATGGAATACCAGGTTTGTTTCTCTATTTGATTGTCATTTTCCTCTTTAAAGTCAAACACTTAACTAGAGGCTTCGACATACAATTTACATGTTTAACGCTTTTTAAAGTGAAGTGGTCTATAATGGAAGGTCTGAAATACAATGAATAATTACGTTGCAAGTATTTAGTATCAGACATAACAAAAAAAGAACACGAATAATAATTATACATGGAAGTTGTTGGCATAGCCTAATACTACATATATTTATATAGCAGCTAAAAATATTCATTTTCTAAATCACTTAGAAGTGTAGAAACATTTATTTGTTCAAGCAACTTTTCATAAGAAAATCCAAATCATACATTTATATTGTTTTTTTTATCAACATTTGAAATACTTATGGACACTCTACCCATTATATAAAATTCTAGAAGATTGCGGAAGTCTACGGGGAATATCAAATGTCACTTTTATAATTAGGAAAAAGATATCAATTCTGAGTGCATTGTTGTAGAATAATGCACGGTTTAAGTTCAAATGCGTAGTAATATAATCACGAAGCATTTGAACGAAAAACGTGCATTATTATACAATAATGCACGAAGAATTAATATCTATTTCCATTCTAACATGTCAATAATTATTATTATAAAGTTGGACTTTATGTTTGGTGGTTAAATTTGTTTTCGCCTCAGAGTTTTCAATAGAAACGTTCTTTAAATGCTGTTCCAGTGGGTTGAACAAAACTGTCGTTAAATCTACCGTGTGTAGAATAACGAATTTTGAAAACGTTGATAAAACTTTGTTTGTGTATTTTATTTCACTCCATATTTTTTCAAGCGAAATACAAATTATTAAAAGTGAAATAAATGTTAAACTTAACATGTTTTTCGACGTTAAAATAGCGTACTTGATTTGATTGTTTTGCACGTGCTATTTGGCGCTACATTGTGACTTCACGTAAACAACACTTTAAACGTCTGTACAGCGTTAACGACTGAATTAAAGATATTGGTGTTCGGATTAATTTTCTTAGTTAGCCAATTTTCTTTCATTCTTGATAGCTTTCACAACAAAATTCAACAAAAAATTGTTTTTAATTTATCAGATTTTTCAAACAAAATTGCGCCCTCAATGTGATAATACACAGGGAGATAATAAGAACGGCGAGGGCATTGTTGTAGAATAATGCATGCTTCCGGGCTTCTTTGTTTATATAGAAAAATTTCCGATAGTGTTAGAAGTGACATTATGTCATGGCAGGTATACAAGTTACAGTCATAATAACGATAGATGTGCTTAGTTCATGTGTGTAATCAATAACACACGTGACTCACGGAAAATTCAATAAATTTCTTTCCAAATGTATCATTAACATTCAATTTATGAAAAGAGCTGGGCAGTCTTTTAATATTTTAGGTAGTTCTGTAACTATCTTTCTTTATCAATTATTGGTCAATGACCAATTATAATAGCTAATCATTTTAGATATATAGCCAAATTAACACTAATCATGAATATAATGTCACTTTAAATCTCGCCATAATCATTTGAAAACTATACACTTTGTCTTGCCATATTATAATAAAATAAATAGTTAAGTATAATTTCTGCCAATTAAGCAACTCAACATTTTCCAATCGGTAAATAACAAAGTTTGCCGAAAATTGACCAACTTATTATAAGCGTGATTTTAAAGCATCACACCTCCAGATTCAGGCTGCTTTTCATGAAAATTTGAAAATGTATCTAACAGTATAATATTGTAAAGTTACCAAAAGAATGCAATTTACACATTAACAAGGACACATACAACCTATGTACATTACTATAAAGAGGTCAAAATATGCAAAAATAGCCCTTACTGCGTTAGTAACGCAGTAGAAATATAGTTATACATACTGAAAAATTCGGTCATTAATCGCATATAACATGCAAATTTTTACTAGAATTTTGAATCTTTATACCTTTCCTTAAATCTTAGTAAATTTTTCAAAGGTTTGATTTTATTGAAATATTTTTGCTCATCTGGAGGCGTGCAGCTTTAAAGATACATGTTTAAAATACAAGTATCAAGTGACACTTTTATATGTATAATGTTTTTTATAAATGCAAGGGTAGCGAAACGGTCTATGAAAAAATCATGTTGTCAAAAGAAGAGCGTCGATCAAGAAATAATAAAAAAATGTAGCAAAATGATGGACAAGATTTTGTATGCTTTAACAGAATGAAATACAGAATAAATGAGTACATGTAAACGTTACAAACTTGTATTATTGTCTATCTAAGTTTATGAAATGAGGTTATTATTATTCTTTTAACACAATAATTCCAATTGTATCATAGACTTTACTACTGAAAATGTGTCAGAGTAATAACATCTATCATATGTTGCGGTTCGGATCGGAATATTCGTCCAGAGGGTACCCGCCCTTTGGTCGGAAACGAGGCTTGCCGAGTTTCCGGCTATTGGGATGGACCGCAAACACATGCCAGATATTTTTTTCTTGGCGTTCAAAACGACCTATAGACAAGCAGTTTCGTTAAACTGACGTCGTATGGCACGCGGCTCATCTGGCACCCGCAATGCCAAATTAAATTTCTGGCATGTGTAAAATTAACAGAAATACCAGTCTGATATTTAAAAATCACATCGTATACCCAAACTTGCATAGCGCATGCGTAAATTGGTATGCAGGTATTAGGTACCCGCACTCTAGTTGCCACTGTCTATCGGGGATAATAGAGCATTGTAGGTCTGAGCACATTTGTCTCACGAGGTGTGACCGATGTGCTCGTAAACATTCATATTTGCGACAATTGGAAATTAGACAGATGTGTTCGACGCACAATAGAAAGGACACTCGAAGCACATTTGTCTCACATTCTTCGATAAAATTCTTAAAAGATAATGATTATGCCCGTTCATATACCGTCTACCACCCATTGTTCTGTGTTTTCGGTATCTATAATACCGTTTTAGGTCACTTCCGGTCATTCAAAAACTTCCTGCCTCTGCATAGGAGTCATATATTAACTTTATTAATATCCTTGTTCAACATGAAAATTTCTACTAGTGCAGTATCCAGAACCCAAACACATATGCAGCGAGTCAATTCTCATCGTTATTAATTGTACACGTTTCTTTCCGATGCTTTAAGTTTTATAAATGATTTAAGAAATATTCTAAGCAACAACAAGGTAGTATCTACGGTTGCACAAAGAGAACATAGGATTTTCTTATTTATTACGTCCGCACGCGATAGCTATTACGTTCTAAAGGGATAGTTATTGCGTGCGAACGCGATAACTGTTACGTGCGCACGCGGATGCTCTTAATTTATTACTTATTTAATGCCTTAGTTTTTATAATTTTATTCCAGCTTAATCTATCAGGAATACCAGTGATCAACACGACAAGAAGTTCAGAAAAGATTTTCAAATTTATAATCGTTCAATCTGCGCATATCTCGGACACTTGTTTACCAATAACTTGCTGTTAAAGTGCTCAACTTAATCATCTCTCAGTATATACAGTGTTAGGTGATGTCAACCAGCTTGATGGCTATCATCATCGTCGCAATAAATGCTTTAAAACGGTACCAAATGTAGGTCATCATCACAAATGATGTTGCTTTATAGCGGTACTATATCTACGTCATTATCACCAGAAATGTTGCTTTATAGCGGTACCATATGTATGACATCATTACCATTAATGTTGCTTTATAGCGGTACTATATCTACGTCATTATTAAAGGTAATGTTACTTTATAGCGGTACTATATTTATGTCATTATATCCAGTAATTTTGCTCTATAGCGGTGCCGTGATTATGTATGTCTTCATTATCAGGAATGTTATCATAAAGCTGTACCATATATACACAGTAATGTTGCTTTATAGCTGTACAATATTGTGTGGCATCATTACCAGTAATTATGCTTTAAATCGGTGCCATATGTAGTCATCATTAACGGTACTGTTGCTTTATAGCGGTTCCATGTGTATGTTATTTAAGATAATGTTACTCAAAAGCAGAAATCATATGTATGTTTCATTTTCACTACTGTGGCTCTCTAGCGGTGTTATATTCCATTTTTCTCTATTTGATTGCCACATCATTGTTGTTTGTGTCGTGTGGTGGCCCCAAACATATAATCAAAGCTGTTATATTTTCGATCCTTAAAGAATGTTGAGCACGAGTAACTTGCACTTTCCATTACCGTCCAGCAAACCGACCCTGCAACATTTTCAGTTTTGTGTTGTTTTTTTTTGCGTTCTTTAGGGATTCCAGTTTTCTCTATTTTATATGTTATTGTGTTAGTATGTTATTACCGCTATTCCCGTTTTCTTATAGCGGGTTCATATGTACAAGTATGCCATTATCTTCGTCGATACCTTCGCTTTTTTGCGGTATGTACCATCATGCGGCTTAAAATGCCTATAGGAAGTTACGTCACTGTTAATAAGATCCTATTCCAAAAAGTAGGGAAAAATACATTTGCATAATTATATAAACAGCATGTAAGTTGATTGCCTTTATTGTCCAACAATATTGACCTGGCACTCATGCATTTGACCCTATAGTCGGTAAATTCCGTATACGTTACGATGTACTTGTATATCGGTATGAATGTATATAACAAGTAAATTAAGAACTCGATAAAGATACTTTACTTCAAGAATATAGACGTAAACTCGTAGGTTCGAATCCTGATTCAGACACGTTTATTTCTTTTTTATTTTAAAATTGACATTTATTCCTGCAAATAAATTCCAAGAAATGTGTTTCTTCATAACGTGGTATTGGTTAGAAATCGAACCAGAGACCTTGAAATCGGTAGCCCTGCGTCTATACTGACGTATACAGTTAACAATATATTGATATGTTTGTTACATACCAGTGTTTATCCAATGACCTTTAAGAAAGTTAATGAAGTGTCAGGTCAATATTGTTGGACAATATGAGAAAAATATTTTGATTCATTTTTACTTTATTTTGAACATGATTAACTATTATTTGCTCTTGAAAATATATACCCGGTTTCTAAAACTTACTTCAAGCTGATTTACTCAAAAATAATTCTAAATTATCTTACATCGTATTTTATCGTTTCCGCCTTAACCCTTTACTTCATATAGACGTGTTTTGACGGCTTTTCGACCCCCCCCCCCTTTTGAGGCCTCAAACAGTGAAAAATTACCCTATTTAGACTCAAAACACTGTTTTTCATTTAGGAAATGTTGCTAAAAAAAGTGATCACTTTTTCGGCGCTGCCGTCATCAAAAAGGTACATCAGAGGGTTTCCAAAAGGGGGGTTTGCCCCTTTCTGTTTGGGGGGTTCGAAGAAGGGTGGCAGTCCCCCTTCATCGCCAAGAAAATTTGGACGTATGAGAGGCTAAAATTGACCCCAGGTCGATCATAAGGAAATGTGTAAGCAATGCTGAAAAGCCTTTGACTCTATCTCAATGCAGCACTTTGAAATTAATTTTGATGCAAAATAGTGATTTTGGCAACTTGAGATGTCTCCTCGCTGCCATGGTAACAAGAAATTTAAGACTGAGCATGTCGTTACAAAGGCAATGGTTCTGTCAACATTTGTGCCACGTTTAATTAGTGTTGAAGCATTTTCCATAGTTTCATAGCAGTTTGAACTTGTTACAGGAGGCTTTTCAATGAAAACGGCCATTTTTCACAATATACATGTACTCATGAGGGAAAGGGTTAATAGTTGTAGTTGTCAAATATCAGCAAAATTGGTCTTTACATGAGTCCATGAAAATATTTATTCGTTGTTGCGCGTTCTTTTTTTGTCATGAATTTCAATGTATAGAACAGGGAAGAACTTTTTTATATTCAACTCAGTTCTAAAGACTTATAATTCACCGCTGTATTTAAGTTTATCATTGAAAACCATTAGATAACTGTTGTGTGTGTGAATATGCGTATATTATTGTTCAGCTTTATTAACAGTTTAGATAAAGTAGCATAATGAAGGCTCGAATTATGAATAAACCAGTTTTCAATGGAACTCATTGTTCGCGGCATGGGTTCTATTATATTTCGTTGTAAATTATGAATTAAAATTTGATTTTCCAAATAAAAGAATAAAAGAATTGATAGTCGCATATCACTTCTAAATGTGAATGATGAAACCACTTTATTGAATTGATAATGATTAGTTTGTCGACATTTTAAAAAGTATTTGCAATGTAAGCACGCTAATATGCATGTATTTATAAAGTGTATGCACTTTAACTGTAACAGCTTATTTAGTTTGTACATTAAAACATTTTCAATTATAAAGTATCAATAATTTATATGTAATTTTACCTATTATTTTGCATTAAAGGTTTTTTTTTAACCTTACTTTGTTTTTCAACAATCTATAGAAATTCTACCTAAATCCACTGTATATTTATGTTATCTTAATTCTATTTCTGTAACAATCTATGGAAATTCCACCTTGCAGCAGTTGACTTTGAAATAGTATATTTTGTTTTCTTTGAAAATTCTACCTTATAGCAGATTATATTTTTAAAGAAAGTATATTAATTTTATTTATGAAATCTACCTTACAGCAGTTTACATGAAAGATAATAGCATAGTCTATAGAATTCTACCTTATATCTTTTTTAATAAATGAGCCACGTCACGACAAAACCAACATAGTGGGTTTGCGACCAGCATGGATCCAGACCAGCCTGTTTACAAACCCTATTACAAGTAGAGAAACTGAAAGCGACCAGCCTGGATCCTGATCAGACTGTGTGGATGCGCAGGCTGGTCTAGATCCATGCTGGTCGCAAACCCATTATGTTGGTTTTGTCGTGACGCGGCTCAAATGAAGTTCATGTTTACTTATGGATTGCTAAATGGTATACATCATCCTTGAACTTAAGAAATGTTAAGTTTTCATTTGTTTATGTTTCAGACATTCCTTTTTTCTTTAGAATTTCTGCAAATTCAAATTTATAATTAAAATAAAGCGTGAACATAATTGTTAATGTCAATAATGAGGAATTCAGATTATGTTTAAGTATATTTTTCAAAAATGATTTAGAAAGAAATAGGTACATTGCAATTTCTGTAACTGTTTTGTTATAATTCTCGCTTATTAAACACTTTCATGTTGTATATGATGCGTTATGTTGTTATTATACCATTGCATACGGTAACACATTGACACTGGATTAAGCAAAAGCATAAACCGATGCATTTTCCCGATCTTGTACTGTCTTTATATATTGTTTTCAGATATTTTATTAAAGTCATCAACTACAATAATATTGGAAATAACAAACAACAAACAAACAATATAAAAGCAGCGCAAGATCGGAAAACAGTGTCGCAATATACAGTCCCGGTCTTGGGTACCTTTGACCCTTAAAAACCCTCCGCCCAACCCTGAAATGAATGGAAGGTTCCGATAACATCCGGCTATTGCGCAGTCTCTATATATTATGTCTCGTAAACTTACATCCAAGATGGCGGCTAGCTCCGCTAAAGATATTTTCTCTCGATTTTGACGTCCTAACGAAACAGAATACTTTTTAAAGTTGTTATCATTTCACCGAAACAATTAAAGTTTACCCAAATAAACTTTAAATAAAGACACATGCATAAGTTAAAGGCTGCTTTTGTTTGCCTGGCGTAGGCCTATTAATATCAAGAATTTAGTATTCGGTGTTTTTTCATGCCATGGTCTCGGTGTTAATCAATTGAAGATGGAAGCATCAGACATTACTTTACTTTAATATTTTCAACGTGATCATATTGTTATTAAAACAGTTAAAACCCTTTAACAGGTAAATTCTCGTAAATACTCTTTAATAATAACAAAACATCAATGATTTAATAATACGATATCGTTAGCTACAATAAATCAAGAGATGTGTGAAGTTGGCGTTGGCCGCCAACTTCTTACCACTTCACGCTGCTAGATCTCAACTTCATGCCGCTAGGACGCCAACTCCACGCTGCTAGACAAACTACTTCACGCCGCTAGGCCGCCAACTTCATGCTGCTAAGCCGCCGGACCGCTAGACGGCCAATTTCACGATGATAAACCGCCAACTGTACACCGCTAAGTTACAAGGCCGCTAGGCCGCCAACTTCATGCCGTAGACCTTAAACTTTTTTTACCTCGGTTTATTTGACATAACAAAGCATGTTTGAGCTGCATATTTTTGCGTTCATACGACTCGAATTCAATAATTCAACTGAACGAAATAATTTTTCATTCTCAATTGACTCATACACACTCAGATCTCTATAAACAATAGAAAATGCGTATATGCTTACAGAAGATATTTCTGAGATGATATTTGTTGGTGAATATTATCATTGCAAGGGAAGAAATCAACATGGAGAAAGCAACAACTGACATAAGGTTTACCTCCCCTGTTTTTGTTCAAAGGGACTCCATTTTCGATGTACACATCGAATTATCTTTTTAAAGATTTTTGTATAGTTGGATGTAGGTCTGGGCCAATAACTCGTGAACACAGTTTCAGATCATTTGCTCAATCCGTTCCCCGGGAATAATAAATTTTGTTGTTCAAATTGACCCGAAAATGAAAAGAGTTGCAGCACCTTCACCATAATCGGCCAGAAAACGCATAAAAATTGACTATCAATGTAATACAAAGTCTATACGAGGACTGTCCCATAAAGTCGTGGAGAATGGCTGTAAACCCAATATAACGTCCAAGCCTAAAATAATTGTGTTCATGTTTACTTCCATCAATTTGAAGTAAAACAAGACACTTTATTAAAAAAAAAACACATAAAATATCAAAGTATTAATACAGGCCTGATTTGTATGTATGGGGTTCACGCCATATAAAGTCAATTTACCAATCTAACACATGATCTTCAAAACAGAGTTAGTGGTCAATAACGTAATAAATCTACGTTATGTAATGACGCTTACATTAACGTACGTCGCCGATATATATGTCGAAATTTCATGGAAATTGCACGACATATGAGCCGCGTCACGACAAAATCAAACTATTGGGTTTGCGACCAGCATGAATCCAGACCAGCCTGCGCATCCGCGCAGTCTGATCAGGATCCATGCTGTTCGCTATCAGTTTCTCTATTTCTTTGAAAATGACCAGTGTTTTGCAATTGTTGATTTACAAGTTTCATAACAGGTGACGAAATTGTTTTAGCCAAAATGGTAGGCCCGTACGCAAGCGATTATAAACAACGGAGAAAATTGAAAAATTGTAAATAAAGGAAGATATCAAACAGTTCGCAGTATATTAGAATTTCAAGATTGAGAAAATGAGAGTATCAAAATACAATGTATGTATGTCCTTTATAAGAAAGTGGCTTTACATAAAAAATGTATCCCTCACAGAGGTGGTACTTTGAAAAAAAGAAACATTGACATAATGTCACGTAACGTTAGTTTGACGTTGGAGCGTGGGCCGCATTACACCACTAGATAACTTTATAATTTGTTTTGTGTAATCAAATTAAATGTTATATAGCTGAATTTTGCATGTCACTCGGCAATAGCATATTAAAAATCAGTAAACTCTTTCAAAAATCTGTTCAGTATTTTGTATTTAAACGTTGTTGGCCATGACTTCTTGGGACATCCCTCGTATTTATATATTATCTATTGCAAAGTTTTATTGTTAAGTATACAAAGTGATTTATGAAAGAATTTCATTTTTTATGATTCTAGGCTTTTGTGCCTCATTTAAGTTTCATTTAAGCTGGTTATTTTAAATTTCCAAGCCATATTTTGCGATATGTAAATAAACAAATAGTGAAAGAAACGGTTACTTATAATTACCTATATTTCATTATGCTTGAAAATTATATACAAAATACAGGGCGGTTATCGCCAGAAACAATTATTACTTATCTCATTTTTCCCCTAACCAATAACAGCGAAATAAATCTTTAATGTCTAACAGTGTATCTAAAGGTCGTAAAACAAAGTTTTTTGCGCATATGTCGTGACGTTAAGAGCGTAATTAATAACGTCAATTAAAAACGTTACGTAAATAAAAAAAAATGCTTTTATGATGTACGGTTCATGGTAATTTGTTGATGTATTCTCGGGAGCTCTATGGTATCTTTTTAAACTACCAAAGAAATTAAGCAAATTTAGCATAAAAGAAATTTAATCTAAAATAACCGTGTCATGAGAAGATCGGTTTATAAAGAATGCAATTATTATAGTATACATGTATATGCCACGTGCACTGTTTGTATTACATAGACAACAAGAACAAATAAAATATTTAATAGATTTTACACAGTTAGTGTACTTTAATTTCTAAATCTATTACAACATTAAATACCTAATTGACAATGTTTCAAAGGTCAACTAAAACTTAACATTATTTTAAATTTTTTATCATATTCTTGTCACAAACACAACAAATAACGAAAGTTTACCATCTTGTTTGAAAAATATTGATGATTTAACATGAATTTCTGTATCAGTTATATAGAACAAAAAATAAAATTTAAATTTTTTCATCATTTAAAAAGAAAATTGTACTTTTTTTATTTTAAATTAATTAAAAAGGGGGGGAAAGAAACACCATAGTTTTAAAGGGTCAATTACCCAATGGACTTGGGCAGTTTCCGTAAGGGGTGTAGGGAAGTATGTCAATTTTAAAATTTGTTAATCCTTGTTTCCTTTTTTCATTCCTTACGCCGTATTTCATGTAAGAAAACAATATGACGTAATAAAGCCATCATGACGTGAGTAAACCAATGTGTCGTATCTAAGAAAATGACATATGCATATGTAAGAAAATGTAGGTATGTAACTATGTTACCCAATATCATGTATATAAGCGTAAGTAAGCCAATCTGACCTATGCGAGTACGCCAATGTGGCATAGGTGAGAAAGGTAATGTAACGCATGTGGGCAAGCCAATGTAACGTATGTGAGTGAGCAAATCTGACGTATTTATGTAACCCAACGTGAGGTATGTGAGTAAGTCAATGCGGGGTATGTATTTTTGCAAAATTTGATGTAAGAAGTAAAACCAATGCGACATATTTATGTAAGCTAACGTGACTATGTGAGTTAGTCAATGCGGGGTATGTAACTAAGCCAACGCGACTTATATGAGTAAGTCAATGCGGGATATTATCTGAGCCAACGTGACGTTGACAGTAAAGCCATTGTGACATGTTAATGTAAGCCAACGTGACGTATGTATATATTTATATAAGCGAATGCGACGTATGTTAGTCAATGCAAGGTTTGTATCTAAGCCAATGTAACATACTTATGTAACCCAACGTGACGTAAGTAAATCAATGTGGGGAATGATTCTAAGCCAATGTGACGTATGTAGTTAATGCGACATATTTATATAAGCCAACGGGACGTATGTATGTCAATGCTGAGTATGTGTCTAAGCCAAGGTGACGCATGAAGTATCGAAGCTCATGTGACATAATTATGTTGAAAGTCAATGTGTATGGCCGTCATGTGGTATGATATATGAATGTGACGTATGTATGTAAGCCAATGTGACGTAATATGTTACGTAATATGTGAGAAAATCAATGTTGTGTATATATTTAAGTAAAAAGATTGCGTAAGTATGTAAGCCATGTACATATTTCAGTTTAGCATCATCACAACAATATGTATACATTTTCACTTTTAAAAAAACAACAACAACAACCATTTCAATTGCACAATTCCCTCAAAAAGCCTAACACAGTTAATGGGTAAACATCAATAAACAAAAAATAAATCACTAATAATAAAGTGAAATCTAATCAAACACTGATTTTGGTTATTGAAACATCGTCGCTGATATATACATGTCGTATCACGAATTCAAAAGCGGCTGACATTCAAACTTTGGAGTAGACCTATGTTTTCATAAGATGGAAACGAATGGATTGATGGATTGTATGAAGTACATTGTAAAGCACACATGAAACATCAGTTAAAGTTGAAGTCCATTTTGTGTTATCTCCCTTTAACCCTCTTTATAAACGGAAGTGATTCATAGTATGACGTATTTAAAGATTTAAGCCCTCCGTCTGCTGTTCTGTTTAAGTGCCATTCTTCCAAACAATCTAAAGCATACGGCTGGTAATCTATGTGAAATTTATTAGCAAAAAGATGGTGTTTATGCGAAAGTGCCTCCAAATCGCCGACCCCGAACACGCATACTCCGCGAACGAATTTTCCATGACAGGGACTTACCCCGCCCCATCCTGCAAACGCTGCAAGCCATGGTTTGTTATCGGGCTTGCCTGAAAATAGAAAAAAATCGAGACTGTAGTGTTCACTTTTGTGGCTGAAACGTTTGTAGTGTTAATAATTATTGACCAGTCAAGAGGAATTATAGAGTATCAGCCGCCATGCTTATCGTAACATCATAAACAAGAGGGCCCAGAGGGCCCTGGATCACTCACCTGAGAAATAGGTCAAAAGGTCAAAGTGGAGCCCCTTTTCACCCAAAAGCACAATTTGAAAATACACCCAAAAGCACAATTTGAAAATAAGGGACAGCTTAATCTGAACAATTTTTGTACACTGGCAGGAAATTTTTGTGTAAAATTATTTCAAAATTGAACCAGTGGTTTAGATGTTGTTGTTTTCTAATTTTAGCTCTGGCAGCCATTTTATTAAACAGTTCAGCCTGTCACTAAATGAGAGGTAACCTAATAAAAAGTTGACAGAAAAAGAGAAGGAAAAAAATTGACCTGGCTGGGGATTGAACTGTCGACCTCGATCCCTTGGGGCGGGGCTAACTTTGATCCTAGGGTTTTATTTCAACAAACATGGTAGACATATATGTCATGCCAAATACCTAAGCTCTACCTCTTCTGGATTTTCACAAGATTTTTAAAGATTTTTCTGTATACATATAAGGAAAATCAATGACCCCTGGGGCGTGGCCATTCTGACTCTTGGGCTTTCATTTGAACAAACTTGGTAGACATCCACTAGAAGATGTTTTATGCCAAATATCTTTAAGCTCTAGCACTTTTGGATTGTCACAAGAGGATTTTTTAAAGTTTCTACTATATATATATCAATGACCCCTGGGGCCAGGCCAATTTTGACCCCAGGACTTTTATTTGAACAAACAGAAAATGTTTCATGCCAAATATCTAAGATCTAGCTCTTCCGGTTTTTTTAAAGAAGATTTTTAGTATATACATATAAGGAAAATCAATGACCCCTTTGGCGGGGCCAATTTTAACCCTTGGGCTTATATTGGAACAAACTTGGTGGACATTCAAATATCTAATCTATAGTGCTTTTGGATTGTTACAAGAAAATTTTTAAGTTTTTACTATATACATATAAGGAAAATCAATGACCCCTGGGGCGGGGCCAATTTTGACCCTAGGGATATTATTTGAACAAACATGGTAGACATCCATTGGAAGATGTTTTATGCCAAATATCTAAGCTGTACCTCTTTTGGATTGTCAAAAGATTTTTTAAAGTTTTTACTATATACATATAAGGAAAATCAATGACCCCTTGGGCGGGGCCAATTTTGACCCTAGGGCTTTTATTTGAAAAAAAAACTTGGTAGACATCTACTAGAAAATGTTTCATGCCAAATATCAAAGCTCTAGCTCTTTTGGTTTTTTAAAAGAAGATTTTTTTAAGATTTTTGTAAAAAAAGAGGTCTTTATGGAATTTAATTCTTTAAACAACTTTGTTAGAGCTTTATACAAGTAACACCCCTGCAAAGTTTCAACAAATTTGGCCAAGTGGTTAAGGAGGAGAAGTTGCTTGAAGACATTGTTGACGCATGCACGCACGGACGATGGACGACGGACAATAGGCCATCACATAAGCTCATCTTGAGGACATTGTCCTCATGTGAGCTAAAAAGTCATTAATATTTCCTTTGGTCACTTTTTTTTAAACAAATCTGAAATGTTCCTTAAAAGTTTACTAATCATAAACTTCCGGTAGTTACTAGTTACAACACTAATCTATAACGCTTTTTTTAACCCCACACACTTTACCCGTTGTTTTGGATAGCTCTATTATTTTGTAATCATTTTTACAGACAAACTGAAAATGAAATTGCGAGCTAAAAATAAATGCTTTAATTTATATTTATTTTAGCATTGCTCGCATCCTATGAATTAATTTAAGTAAATACGCCCAGCCTCACATTTGCATACGCACGTTCTTCTATGGAACGCCATAGCTGTAAAATACTGATTGTATTATTAAAAAAGACTTACCTTTGTAATATGACCCTGGTGTTCCAATATGGTGATTGTAGTTAAGTGTTGCCCAATAGTATTCATCAGGACTGAGAACATCCCTATACCAGTCTAATAATTCCCGCGCAATTTTGTTGTTTATTATATAATCCACAAAATCTCGACTAAAGATGCCATATGCACTTCCTTTCACCACTGTTATATTGTACGGCGGGTCGTCCTTCTTCTGATTAGTTTTAAATGTTTTTGGTTTTGTCTTGTCATTAACATGTTTATAAACAAACCGATGCTTGTATCTATATTCCAATCTCCTGTTGCCAGTTAAACCTTCAATATCATTTGCACCATTATAAATTTGCAGAATTTTAACAATTTCCATGTTTGTTTTAAGCGGAAACTCCTGGCTTGGTAAATTAATGAAATATTTCCAATCTTTTCCGCGCTGTAAAAGGTTTTCCATACAATTTAGGTCAGCTTGTAAACGCGTGAAACCAGCATACACCATATACTCTTTTCGCGAAACAACAAAAACATTATCAAAACAATTTGATATACTCTGGATAGCATCATGCACTTCTTTTTTTGAATCCGCATCAACGTGCAGACAAAAGTAGTTCTGAGGCGTATAAATTGCACGTAGTAGTCGTTCAGCCTGTTCAACGTCTTTATAAAGAAGAATACTGTATGCTATAGGAAAATCAGCCTCTTCTTTTGAAGGGAAATAGTTACTGTAGAAACGATTTCTTTTAAAACTATCACAATTTGCCGTCATTTTTATATAATCCGTGTCAGCAATCCGTTTTCTACTTTCGTTTTTCATCAATTCTTGCGCCTTGACGATTTCTGTTTTGTCACCTCTTAAAATGGCAGCACAGTTGATATTCTTAACAAGACGAATAGGAGTTCTCTTAGACCTCCGAAAATTTAATTCTGTATGAACCACATTGTCGGAATAATCTCGTAAGTTAAAATACAAGTTCATTTCGTCTGAGCCAACATTCACAACGAATACTTTGCCGGAAATGTACAATATAATGCAGACGATCGCTAATAAAAGCAAAAATTTTCTGCGTAGAAATCTTCGTTTCATCTCTTGACAAGTCAAGTGGCTGAAAAGAAAAATAGAGTATTCGTTTTATTCACAATTATTCAGTTACAGTGTCAGTTGCACACAACACAATGCACAAACCATTCCCAATCGCAACTTTTCGGCCCTTTCCGTCAGTCTTCGGATAAATTATTATAGATAATAGTCGACTATATTCCGATTGAAACCATTCTTACAAATATTAGAAATCGGAATACCTTGCAAATTATTCATAATAATCCTAATCCGAAGTTTGACGGGAAAAAGCCGTTAAGAGGCGATTGATAGGTTTTCATAAATCACTACATTGTTTCATTACCATATGGCGTCAAGTTAAAAAAATTCTGATCATTTGTATGATCATATTAAAATCAAAATAAACAAAAAAAAATGTTATTACCGCACACTGGCATTAACATTTCGTTATCAAAATGCATTAAGATTTAGCAGACAGCCCTCGTAGTAATTCTTTGAGCGGTGGCCTTGTCTATAATTCGTCTGCATTATGTGGTTACGGACATGTTTCCTTATAATTCACCAGTTATGAAAAGTCTAGAACGCTGACAAGGTAGAGAAATACTTTATTCATAGAACTTATTTAACAAGTGACCTTATATATGCCCAAATATGTTTAAATTTTACCGAACTGTATGTTATATAAACTAAGGTTGAAGGAAGTTCAGCAAATACTTATCTCTTTAAATATGTCAAAAAGTCAGTTTTACTTCGTGAATGCAGGGCAGGACATACACACTCGATAAAACAATAAGTATATTACAAGTTCACTATAACAATTTGTGATGTGTCACAGCTATAATATTCTCAGATGAGTTTTTTTTTTTTTTTTTTTTTTTTAGATTTCAGGCTCTAATGATCGGTGAGAACTATTGCAGTTATGATATTAAAACAGAGCAAGAACGAGTTGCAGTAAATCTGTCAAACAGTTTCAGCTTTTTATCGATGTGCGACCTATCATTTACCTCATTGCTCATTGATGATGAAATGAATAATGCAATGATGAAACGAATGTGTTGAAATACATGTACTGATAAATGTTTGAATGATTGATCTGCCGATAGATCGGGTGAACCATCGGGATTGATTGATTGATTTGGTTGTTTGTTTGACATGGTTGCTTGGTTGATTGATTGATTGATTGATTGATTGATTGATTGATCGAGTGATCGAGTGAGTGATCGAGTGAGTGAGTGAGTGAGTGAGTGAGTGAGTTTCGGTTATTGGAATATCAATGTCTGTTAATTGTACGTTGTCTAGACAATATTTGGGTTATCGGCTATCAAAAGATAACGCGGCGCAATAACGATTTACTATTATATACGTAATGAAGGAAATAATGACTACCTATCTGCATGAACATATTGCGCTGTAACAGTTTCTTTTCTGCAACAATACTTTAAAGAATTAAAAATAACAATTATACATCGCTAACATATAAAAAATACATGCCTTTTGGACACAACGTCCATACTTGGTAAATCCCTTCGAAATCACTTTTTTTATATTTATGATTATGCAAGATTCACTACTGTTCATGCATGCACGTATGAAATGCATTTGATAGAAAGAACAATCATTTTACTGATAACGCTACAAAAGTACTGATTGTCGGCCAATTATTGCACTCACTCTTCCCCCACGTGTAAAATCATGCAACGTGCAAAAATGAAGTGTTCAATAACCGTTGGGGGTGTTTTGTCGAAATTATTTGAAACTATAAAATTGTCAATAGCAGACGAGATTTTTGGAAATTATGAATGAACTAAAAAAGTTCAATCAATATGGCGGATAATGAAGCAACCGAGACGTGAATTTATGTTTATACATCAAATAACTTTTTGATTCGAATATTATCTTTCTTCAATTTTATATAAACGACTGCTTTTGAAAAGATGTCGTCTGCTGCATTGTATGAGAATGTTTACAAAATGTGGCATGTGCCTTTTGTGAATGAATTTATCTATTTATCTTACACTCTATCTAACTCTTCTATATTCATTTGTTATAAAATATTTCGAGTTTCTTGTTATAGGATTGAAACTTAAATTTGCAACGATTATATCTTGAAACGTTTTCGATTAGAATTTCATGTACAACAACAAAAATATCCACTTGAATGATAAAAAAATGTTCACTATGATTCAAAAGTGTGGCTTTATCAGTACTTTTTATTTATTATTGCACATTTTTGTTATATAATTTACCTAATGTAAACAATTTAAAGTTGGATGAAATAGATAAGAACAAAAATTCAACAGTCCCTTAGAAACAATACCTAGAAACTTAAACCTGTGAGCATATTATCTTATATCTACCAGCGCCTTACTACCAGTACCTGGAAGTTAAAACTTCTCACCACTTTAATAACTCTCTCGAACCAAAACCTAATAAATGCCTAAGAAATTAAATCATATCAGGCCCTTAATAACTCACAAGCAATTATATCATATCAGACCCTTGAGAACTCAATAGAAATAAAATCATATCAGGCCCTTAATCTCACTAGCAATTAAATCATATCAGACCCTTAATAACTCACTAGCAATTAAATCTTATCAGTACCGTAATCTCACTAGAAATTAAATCATATCATACCCTTAATAACTCACTAGAAATTAAATCATATCAGACCCTCAATTACTCACTAGAAATTCAATCATATCAGACCCTTAATAACTCACTAGCAATTAAATCATATCAGACCCTTAATAACTCACTAGAAATTAAATCATATCAGACCCTTAATAACTCACTAGAAATTAAATCATATCAGACCCTTAATAACTCACTAGCAATTAAATCATATAAGTACCTTAATAACTCACTTATAATTGTATAATATCAAACCCTTAATAACATTCGATACTTTAATTACTCTACAGAAACCTATCAAGAATTCAAGATCTTTCACAGTTCTTTATTATTCTTCAAATACCTTAATAACCCTTTAGAAACAGATTGATACCCTTATAACTTCCCAGAAATCTATCAGTAGTTTAATCACTCCATTAACTATTGGCAATTTATAAACAACTTTTAGAAGCCTATCAACATCTTAATAACCCTCTAGAAATGTTTGAATACCTTAATAACTTCATAAATGCATGTATAAAGTCATATTGGCGCCGTTATGACTCTTAATTCTTAATGTCAGTATCTTTATTCCAATTAAAACCTAGAATATTATATGAGCCGCCTCATGACAAAACCAACATAATGGGTTTGCGACCAGCATGGATCCAGACCAGCCTGCGCATCCGCGCAGTCTGATCAGGATCCATGCTGTTCGCTATCAGTTTCTCTACTTGTTATAGGGTTTGTAAGCGAACTGCATGGATCCTGATCAGACTGCGCGTTAGCGAAGGCTGGTCTGGATCCATGCTGGTCGCAAACCCACTATGTTGGTTTTGTCGTGACGCGGGTCATATGAATAAAGGTCATTAAAATAAGCCATAATCTTGAATGCCTCTATCATGGGCTCTTTCATATCCAACAATAGATTATTTCAAGGGCGGAAATAAAAGGGAAAAAATGAAATACCCATAAAACTTCCTTATTTCATTTGCAACATATAGTTTGTAAATATACTTTCTTGTTTTTAAAGTGTATAAAGCTATATATTTTGCTGTCTGTGCAGAGTAAAATTGTTGTTCAAATTGTGATTAAAATATTTACAGAATATTTTCTAGAATGAAAGAAATTTTCAGAAAGCGAGCAGGACATAGTACGTGAAATCATTTCCAAACCTAAAAGTCAGCCGAAAATTTTCTTTCGGAACATGTAATTCTTGTAGATTAAATTACATTGACATGCTATGTTACGAATATTTCAAGGAATGAATTCAAAGTCACGATAACAACATAACTTTACTGTTTTCATTTTTTTCTTTAATCATTATTATTTTTTAAATAAAATATTTCATCAGATATAGCTTTATACACTTTTACCAGTTATTACTTACTCTTAGAAAGTGTGGTACATTAAAAAATAGTAAACATAAAAAATATCATATCATACCATACCTATGTAAATGAATTTTGTGGTCTGCATGTTTTCTAAAAATAGCATTCAAGAGTAGTGTCCATACACTCATATTTTTAAACAAAAAAAGTTTATTTTATTTTTTTCCGATAACTTAAGTCTAGAATTGTCCCATAAATTGTAACTTCATCATTCTTACACGAACAAATATTCTATAGATCTGATAAACGGTAAACTGTCTATCTAAATACGAGAAAAAAACAGCACCAAGTTTATGAGCAAAGGGGCTGGTCAAATTGCGTCGAGAAGCCAACCTTTTAAAGGGGCATGCCTCCAGGTTCATGCTATTTCTGTTCTATTCATGAAATTTTTATATTGTTTTACAAAAGTAAATTAAATTGTATTAAAACGTAAGAAACTGTAAAGTCAAAGCAATGTATTTTACACATTGCAAACGGCACTTAAAATCTACGAAAATTACAAAAAATAGGTCTCAATTATGTAAAAACAGACCTTACTGCGTAAATCACGCAGTAAAAATATCATGATGATAAATACTGCAGAATCAGTCATTAAAAACTTATAACATGTAGATTATTACTTAATTCTTGAATCTTTTAACTTTTCTTAAAATGTTAGTACATTTTTTCAAGTTTGATTTTCTTGAACTATTTTGATTCATCTGGACCCATGCAGCTTACAGGCTGTGTTTACTAGTCAAGCTCTTCTTCAACAAGAAATGAAGACAACCATTCAAACATTGATATTAAAAGATACATAAATCTTTATAAATGGTCAGTAAAAAGGAGCAAGCGGTATTTTATAATGTTTAGATAATGGATTTGAAGCATGATGGATGCGTATCGCGTGGAAAAAACACAGCGTTGAGTGGTAATTAGTCATAAAAGTAGCGAAACGTAAACAAAGTGTTGTTTTTTGTCTTCTATACAAAATTTTTAATCTATAACTGATACTAATATCCCCCCAAAAAAAGCGAAATAGGTCCTGCTGACATGATGGCCA